GGACTCCCAGACCATAAACCAGTCACCTTACATGCTGAGCCACAGGGTCTACTCTGTATCACCCAGCCTCCAGGTGACTAATACAACCGAATGTCTCTTTGTGCCAGCAGGCGATCTTCTGCCTAACAAAGTCAATACTCACCCTAGAACCCATGGTAAAGGAGACCTTCCGGGTAGCCAAGTGGTTAAAGCATCTGCCTACGGTGCACATGGTCGTGAGTTCGATTCCCGCCCTTGCCTGGTGTAGCTCGTTGGCATGAGCAAGTTGGTCGGATGGTGTGTTGATTAGTAGAAGTTGCTGCCTGGCGACAGAGTGCCCGATGGATCCGTGGAAGTTGCTGCCAGGATAAAGAAAACACCAAGAACCTGTGGAAGTTGAAGCCTGGGGACAGAGAACACAAAGAACCTGTGGAAGTTGCAGACTGTGGACAGAGAACACGAGAACCTGTGGAAGTTGCTGCCTAGAGGAAGAGCACTACGTCAATAAGAGGAAGCTGGTGAATGAGGGAAGGGAGAGCTGCCACAAAGGTGGAGCCATAGGTGCCCTGCCTGCAATAGAAGGAGGGGTCTTGCTGAAAAAAATGGTGCTTGGCAGCAGCTCTTGTGAAATTGAACTGTATTTGGCTGCCTTTTGTCTTACAGGTGTTGCCCCCTTTTAACCCACCCAGGTATCTGCTTTGGGTGGGTTCCCCATCTGGCTTCCTCCCCTTCTAAGATAGACAGGTATCTGCTTCTGGGCTGGTCTTTCCAATCTAGCACCTTACCCATACCTTGCCTTGCATCAAATTGGGGGGGTCCCCATATGGAAAAAAACCCTCTACAACCCCCCTAAACCCCCCCACCCACTGCCCTTCTTTGGGGGGTTTGCCTAGCATCAGCCCGGGGTTCATCTTGGGAATCGCTTATTGAGAACAGTGCTCCATATAAGACTATAAAAAAACTTTTTTGGAAGCCAAGATTTGGCGATTTACCCAGCCCAAAGTATAGGTTACTCATTAACACATGTCTCTTTGAGATCTTAAATTCAAAGACACTGCAACTGGTTAATGCAGCATGAAGAAAAGGGGACCAATGGCTAAACAAAGGAGGCAG